CTGCACTACTCTTGAAATGCACAAAAGACAAAAATCATGTCGCTGTATCTTTCCATGTTCTAGCGGAAGATTCACTCTCGTTTTGCACCTTTCAAGAGTAGTGCAGCGAGGCCCAATGTCTCCGTGGAAAAGGGAACTTCCCGTGGTGAGGGGACAGGAGGTCCCCATTCGTAAAATGGACAGGGACAAAAGGGATGGCCAGATGCGTTCATTGCCCAAAGAAGGAAGAGAGTTTGATGCGAGAGCGCCAAGCAGAGCTGTCAGAGCTCCTCCTTTTCAGGGTGTAATGATGTCTTAAAAAAAAAAAAAAAAGAAAGGCAAATAAGTTGAGAAATGTACCCTACCCTCTGTACGGTAGTTTTCTCAACCGAAAATGGTTTCCTGCCCAAACGGAAAGGGCCAAAGCATACGACAAAACGGATTTCACTTCAACGAAAAAATGTACAAAACGACCGAATCTCATAGGTTATTCTCCTGTATTTTGGTACCCTTAGATTCTCAATACATCAACGGCAGAGCTCCGTCCCACCATGCCACCCGTGATAGAAAGCTCAGCGTTGAGAAAACTCAACTTCGGCGGTGGGACTTCACCCCTGAACATTAAGAGCATCCTATCCCTCTGCAAACTTGGTTAAAAAAGACTCTACCAAAAAAAAAAAAAGAAAAAAAAAAAAAAAAGACTCTACGGGGTAGAGCTAAAACGCTCCCCATGTCCTAATGGGGACAACAACCACGGACAGAAACACTTTTTGGGGGGGTTGGCCATGCCCCCAATGAGCGACCCGCTTTTTTTTGGGGTTGGCCATGCCCCCAATGGATTGAAAAGATTTTGGCGGGAAGCTTCCTTTGCACCGGCATGCCCAGTGTTAAGGAGAGGAGGAGGGGAACCAAGATCTCCTTCCTTTTTCGGGTAATACATGTAAAACACTGACCGTGAGATCACGGCTACTGCATGGGTCACTCAACTGCCACACAAACTCTTTTCTATCCTATCCGGTTGCTAGTGGGACCATGCCCCAGGGCCCTGGACCCACTAGCGAGGTATTGTACTTCGTGCTTTGCCGTTTTCTATCACATGCTGCTGGGGGTTGACAGACGCAAATGGCATCCCTCACACATCTCATTTTGGGTCTCGCCGCACGGCATACGGCATACGAAACGAAAACGAAACGAGTGCATCTGCCCACGAGAGGTGGCAAGATACCCTCCTTACTATTTATAGCAAACCGATGAATCTGCCCCCATTTTCTGCAGGAAGATGCACTCGTTTCGTGCTTTTTTTCCCTTTTTTTCTCGAGAAAAGAAGAACTTGATTGCCCATCAAAAAACAAAAGAGTATCCAGTGAGTAATCCAGTGGCCTAGCTCAGTTGGTAAGGCATGCAAGTGGCATTCAGGAGGTCTTGGGTTCAATCCCCATTGGCCTCATGCACCTTCCTGGGCAAGCTTGGCGCCCGTCACCTAGAGATATGCCGTTGTCCCCCCGAGTGGCATTGAGCAGAGACTGCTGATGTTCATAGGGGGAGGGGACCGGAGGGGAGTCACAGTGACTGGCCCATTGAAGAAGCTCGGTCCTGATGCTACTGGCTGACCCCTGGCCGGTATTGCCCACCTGCTGTAGCAGGTGTCGCACCTGCTGGTGGGTGCAGCTCCCGCATGTTCCCTCGTTGGAGGCTTGAGCACGGATATGGCTGCTACGGGGTTCCCCGTATACTATAATGACAACAAAAAAGGCCTGAAAAGGCCGTCCTGTCCAGATTTGACAGGTAGTTGAATTGGTTGGGCGTAAAGAATTAGCCTTTCAAAAAAAAAAAAAAAAAAAAAAAAAAGAGTTCTGAGGCTGGGTCCTCACATTATCCCGGAAAAAGGAAAACCCAAAGAAAGAAAATAACCCCCTTCCAGCAGATCTAGTCCAGCTTTTCTCACTTCACCATCCTAGCCTGTAGCGCAGGGAGTCCCCTTTTGTCACCCCAAATAATCTTGCCCCTCCTGGAGGCGGAGGAAAGCATAGAAAAACCACCCTATTACCTACCTACCTACTTACGCTAAATGTAAAGCCCAAACCAGACAGTAAGATCAAACCTGAAAAAGGAACCGGAGCTAGACTTCGCTCCTGTATCTGTTACCACCGGGGCCAGTCCCGTTCCACTGGTCACTTCTCGGGGGCCAGTTCCGTTCCGGCATACCAGTCTCCGTTAGCCCCTTCCCCTGGTCACTTCTCGGGGGCGGTCCCAGATATAACACTGTCTCGGCAGAGACCCCCCTCCCCATTCCACACTCCTTCCTCAAGACCAAGCCACCCTACAGCCTTCCTACTGCGGACTGCACTGCAACCGAGTGCTCAGGTCGAACGAGCATGCAGGAGCCAGGGACCCAACAACAACTGAGCAAGAAGGAGCCAGGGACCCAACAACAACTGAGCATGCAGGAGCCAGGGACCCAACAACAACTGCGCCTGCGATCTAACTGCTGCTAACTGATTCCTCTGCCCCCAAGCTGTCAAGAACCATTGAAACTTTCACCTGCCCGGTTTTTTGTTGCTTACTCTTCGAGCAGAGTCTCAGAGTACTGCTAAGCTGAGTTGAAAACCGGGCAGGCGAAAGTTTTCTTCCGACTGTCTCAGCTGAAGTGGTGTCTCTTCGTCCCTAAAAATCTTTGCATATCTTCCCTGCCATAGAACCCAAAGCAGAATCGCCCT